AAAGGTTTCAAATGAATGGCCGTTAGAAGAGACACCCTCAGCCTACTACCGGCAGCGGCCTGGCTGAGTGGTAGTGGGGGCGCATGATGATGGTGGTGAGACTATGGTTCGGATCCTGGTCATGATGAAGTTTTTGCATTTTGTAATTTTGCTTGTTTTCAAGCTGAAAGACCATTCAGTGTTGAAATTACGCCATGTACAACGCTGTCAAGTGTTTGCAACTTGACAGCTGAAAGCAGAAAACACGTAGGTGAGTATAGGTTTCATCACGAATGGCCACTTCGACCTGGGATCCTTCCCTTGTAAGAAGTCGCTCTAGGGAAATAAAAAAATTTGTGCATTGTCATAAAGTTGCACATTGAGCCTTTTTCTGGTTACCTTTCCCCTGCAAGGGTGCTTAGACAGACCGTCTGTTGAAGGGCCCTTGAGATGTGGCGGCATTTACTGCCATTGGCCAATGGGGTTAGCAGAAGTGGGCAGATGTGTGTTATGAAAATACTGTAGTAATAGTGCTGTAGAATAGTTACTAGATCTGAGTCTATACATTCTCAGAATTGAAATTGTGACTAGATACTTTTATGTAGTGATAAGATCAAAGATCAAATTATTGATTATACACCCGTGTTGACGTCGGTTTGTAAACCCGCGTCGAATACGGAAAGGGTAATTGGGCACTGTCAGCAAATGCTTCGCACGGCGGTAGTATCGGAGTTTGAGGGGTCCTCCGCAACCATTGCAATAGACCCCTATTTTTACCGGAGTTTGAGATGTCCTCCGAATAACTGACATCTATTTTTGGGTGCGTCGTGCGAAAGCATTGTCGTGCCGATCATGCAATTGCAGTTTCTGCAGTTGCGTGTTTAGCTCTCACTCTATTTACCAAAAAGAGGAACAGAGCCCACATTTTCTTCATAACTGTACAAAGTATAGAGTTGGCGAAGGAAGAATAGATATATGCAAACGATTGGACCTCCCAAGTAAGTGAGGTGGCAAGGCCAAGTGCTGTACCAAGCGCAGCTAAAGTTAGTTTCCAGTGACTGGTAATGGTGTGCAGAAAAGGATCGATATTAGGTAGACTAATGTCGCTGAACCATTGGTGTTTTAGAGGCACCTCCATGGTCTTTCATTTCGAAAACTGAAATGTCCTGAGGTTTCGTTAAGTTGGTAATGCAGAGTACCGTTCAAAGAGGAATTTAGTAGGCCTATCAGAGCAATGGGCATTGCATTGTTCGTTCACGATAGGATGGTTGAAATTAAGAATGATTTCATTTTCTTCTTCTGAAGGTCCACAAGTGACCAAGAATTGCTGAGATTCGCAAGTTACCGTTACTGTAGCTTTCGCTGGTGACTTGCAAATGGCTGTAAAGTGAGCACCTAGTGTGCAGTCGTAGCATCCTGTAAGCTTTGATATTTTGAAGCCACATTCTTGGTTGATAATAAGTTCTGCTACCACATCTTGTAGCATCTTTGACTCAATTCGTAGGACCATTTCCTCCTCGTTGGACGTAGCAACGATGTTCCCCTCGCGAACATTTATAGTTGCGTGGGGTGTTTTTAGAGGTAGCGTGCTTTGTGGGTTGTCACAAAGTTTTTGGAACGAATCGTCCGGACACTGACAGTTACGTGGCGAATTTCCACAGTTGCACTGAATTCTATTGGAACAGGTAGAGAACTCTCTCAGTGCTTGAGTAGGTGTGTTACATGCGACTGCAACTTGGAAATTAGGTGGCAAGAGATATGATTTATCTTTGCAATTGCGAAGCGCTTGTTTTCTAACGAATATAGTGGCCTTTGAATTGATATGATCTGTGATATTGAAGTTATCAATATTATTAGCCACATATGGCGTAAACGATCGCTCAACTTTTTCTGTTCGATTGGCTATTGTTACTTCGATTTCTAGTTTGACCGTTGTGGTCCAGTGAGGACACTGTACGATTTCGAATATTCGATCTGATATTGGTCTATGAGCAATTTTATAAAACCAGCAACTAGGAAGCGGCAGACCACATCCGCAGAAGATTCCTCCGCAACTGTTCATACAGCCGGAGTAGCCAGGATATTTTGAAGCATGTCTCAATTCCTGAACTGTTTCGTTTTGCTTGATTGTTTCACACTTGTTGTTCTGACATGAGCCTGCTGTGGCGCAGCGTTTAGCGTGGTAAACTGATAGTTTTGTAGGTCTTGTGAAAAACTCCGTGGCTTTCGAGCATTCAAAGTCAATGGACTTCTTGGTGAATTTTGCTGATCCAACGGTTCTGTTACCGTGCAAGATTTCAATACATAGCTCCGACTGGAGCCTGTTGAATAGAAGTTCTCTGCTATATTCTAGATGGCATTGATTATTCTCATTACATACGAGGTCAGCTGAGTGGCGCATGAAACCGTGTTGACATGCGCCTGTGGTGGACATCAGACATATTAGGGTACACAAACGAGTAGTGTAGGAAGTGGTGTCAATTCGAAACTGCAGACTGGTGCTGTTGGAATTTCGGGTTCATTCCTTTCTGGTTTGCCAGCTATTTCAGGAGACTTTAGCTTATTAGTGATTCTTAACGGTAATCCATATTGCGCCCATGATCACTGCTATTATGATATAAATTAGCACAGCTGAGGAGGCGATGGCTCCAGCTGGCCAGCAATGGGGGTTTCCTAATAAACTTTTTGAGAGGAAATATTGATGTTCGCAGAACTTTGGTCTGTCGCAGAGCCATTGTTGTTCTTGTACCCCATCACTGCTGAGAGTGCGCAGGCGCACTTCAGCTCCTTTTTCAGTTGGAGATATGGGTAGTAAGTATTTGACATAACGTGTTGTATTGTTCATCGATTGACAATCGTTATCGATGCATAACTCGAACCAGCCCTTCAATGGCGGCACACTAACTACTCCGTTCGAGCAAGATATTATAGTAGAGTTATTGACCGCTATGGCTGGGCTCATCATTGAGCACAATACTGTCAGGAATATCAAGGACGAAGATCTGGATATCGCGCCATATGCATGGTTTGAATCACTGTCCATGTTTCGAAAAAAGTCATGAGCACGTGTCTTCGATGCTCTAGGAAGAATTTGCCTGGTTTTTGGTGCAATCTTTTGTGACGGTTCGCTTGTTTTGAACTCTGTAGGCAGTTTCTCATTGGTTTCTTCTACAACCTGTTCGCCAGTACCGGGTTTTTCGGATACACTGCGAATTTCAAGAGGATAAATCTTATTCAATGGTCTTTGAATGACCCTGTGATTAGGCATCAATATTTTCGCTGACCTCACGAAACCATCAGCTGAAGTAATTATTTCAATTACTCTGCCGTAGGGCCAGTTGCCTCTGGGTATGAAGTCTTGCTCTATTAACACGACTTCTCCAGTCTCGGGCAAGATCTTGTTAAGTGCCGAGGTTGTTTCAGATGTTGCTTTTGCACTTCTCTTAATAGTGTGAGGTATTCGTATCTCCAGCATTCCCAGAATTTGTCTGATATTGCTTCAGAAAAGCGCATTGCTTCCACGGCTTGCTCTCTTGATTGAATAAGTTCAGGATCATAGGTTGGATCATTAATGTTCTCAAAGTTTCCTCCCTTCCGGAAGGGAAAATTTGACATTTGTTCGAAGAAAATCTATTGGACGTAGAGGAATTTTTGTGACATCGTCCGGATTTAGTTTTGTTAGAGGTCTCGTATTGAGAATTGCCTCTATTCTTGCCATTGCCGTGGACATCTCCGTAAAACTCAACTTTTTACGTCCCACTGATTTATTCAGTGCCTTTTTGACAGATGCCACGAGTCTTTCCCAAACGCCACCCATCCAGGGGGACGCTGGTGGATTGAATATCCATTTAATTCCTCTTGTTGCGCAATAGGACATCAGAGAAGTTCCTGATGATTCGTCATTTTCAAACATTGTGGCTATTATTTGCTCACCTTGCTTGAAGTTAGTTCCGCAGTCGGTGCGCATTAGTTTTGGAACACCTCTTCGAGAGATAAATCGCACAAAACTGTTTAGAAATGCGCTCGTTGTCATGTTTTCCACAACTTCGAGATGGACCGCTCTAGTTGTCAGGCAGGTGTATAATGCTACATACATTTTCTCCTGTGTTTTTGAAGTAAATGGTCCCATAAAATCACATCCTGTGTTTTGGAATGGTGTTGATGCGATCACTCTGTCTGTGGGAAGAGCAGGCATATAGGTGCACCTAATGGTAGCCCTTGATATTTTTTGCAAGTGACGCAGTTCTTCAAATACTTTTTGAATGCACTTGAAGCTCGCGGAATCCAGAATCTCTGGCGCGCGATAGTAGCGTATGCTCTTTGCCGCAGTGAGCATTGTCGCAGTGAATTTGCACAATTAATCGAACGAGTTCCGATTTTGGAGGTATATATATTGGTGACTTGGTGTCCTGGGGTAGAGCGGCATTTTGAAGGCGAGACTCATGCCTAATTACCCCACTTTCATCTCTTATTAATTTCTTGTCCGAAAAACGCTTTTGTATATTTTCAAAGCTTTCGTGACATTGTTCCTGAACAAAAATTATGTGTTCGGATAATTCGATATCGATACTTGTTATTTCCTTCTCGGAGGTGAATTTTGAAATCGCTCCAAGTTCTATATTGAGATTACGATTTTTGTTCGTTAAATGGGTCCAGTGTTTCGCTATTTTGCAGACCTGAGATACCACTCGTAAGTGCCTTACTTAGGCTGGAAAATCGACATAAATCAAAGAGTGTTTCTTTGGTTTCGACTTTAACAACTTCGATATTTAGGAAGTGTAACCAAGTCCGATTCCTCAGTTATAATCTCAATTGATTCCATTTTTGTTAATGGCCACGTTTCGGGGTGATTTTCTAGCCAACGTGGGCCTTTCACCCAGTCACTGTCGTTTATTTCTTTGAATTCAATCCTCTAGTTCCTGCATCTGCTGGATTGTGAGCAGTAGCAAGTGAAAGAAATCAATGGAAATGCCATCAGATTCGAGTTTGGTCTTGATTTCAACGATTTTTTTGCGTTGATTTTCAACAAAAACCGGTAATTTTTTACAACTTTTTATCCAACAAAGTGCGATTTCGCTATCAGATGCAATTGAAATTCATGCACATCGTACTTCAATCTGATGTTATTGCATAGCCTTGTTGCCATTAAAATAGCAACCAATTCAAGGCGCGGAATAGTTTGTTTTATCTTTTTTGGCGTCAACCTTGTTTTTCCGCTAATCAATGGCGTGACCTCGCTTGTTAATTTGCACTGTAAGTAAGCGCAGGTAGCCATAGCAATATTGCTGGCATCCGCGAATACCCAGAGGCGATTTAACAGCTTTTTCGACTCTCTGTACTTTTGCAGAGCTTCTTTTGGAGTTTCCGCCTGCATCATGATGTTATCAACATATAGATTGCTTGCGATTTCGTTTGCTAGTGTTGAACCTTCCTTAATCAAGAACGAAGTGAGCGCCATATTTAGTATACTTGGTGAGGCAGTTACTCCGAATGGAAGCCTTTTAAACCTATAGTGAATCAGATTTTCTCTTGTAGGTGGTAAATTGATATTTTTTACCCACAAAAATCTGCAGAGATCTTTATGAGAATCCACGAGATGGATTTGCGTAAAAGCTGCCTCGATATCACACATTAGGATGATCTTTTTTGTTCTTGATGCAAGTAAAATATCATGGATTTTATTGACAAAAGATTCACCCTTGTGAATCACATCATTAAGAGAAGGCTTGTTCCTCCTTTTTGATGAAGCATCAAAAACTATTCTGAGCGGTACTTTTTTGCTTTGGTGCTTCACACTGGCCCTGCCCCATGTGGCATTGTAGCGTGACTTCGCGACCCGCCTCCTTTTCGCCCTGTATACGAAGGTTCGATTGTATTTTCTTCTACATATTTTTGAAGAATTTCGCAGTACCAACTGCGTTGTTCGGGGTTTTGCTGCAGAGTTTTTTGAAGGGATTCGAGTCGCCGAATCGCTACACAGTAGTTGTCCTCCAATTCTGAGATGTTATCTTTGAGAGGGAAAAGGTGCAGTTATATAACCATTTTTGAAAGAAACTAGCTTGGAATATTGATCCAAATAGTTGTGAATTTTGTCATCTTTATGACATTCATCTTCTGAGATGCCAAGACCGTCGAGTTCGAACATTTTTTGCAGTATTTCCTGCTCAGTTTGCTCAATTACGGCCGTAAGCCCATAATAGGTACTATTGATTAGATTTTCCGCTGTCAGAAGCCCTTTACCGTATACGGTTGGTCCGAAGACGGTTTTTGTGATTTGAAGGCCTGACGGCGTTTTTTGTGTATGGTTTGGACCGGATATTAGGTCATGATAATAGTCCAAACCAACGAGAATGTGTGGCTTTTGATGCTCTCCACGAAGTTTTGAATTGGCCAGATAGATGTTGTTTTCCTTTAAAAATGTTACATCTGCTGCTGTCAGTTTGACACTTGGAAAACCGTTCGTTAAAACAGGTTTTGTTTGAATTTTAAGCTCGATTTCCTCGCCAAAGGCTGTATTTATTTTTGTCAGCACTATGTCGCTTTTGAAGTTCTCAATATGGCCTCCGATTCCTGACATGGTGCAGATCTCGGTAGAGTATTTCGAAGACGCTAGTTGTTGCGTAGGTTTTCTTCAATTACCGTTTTTTGGGCTCCGGAATCGAAAAAGAAATAGCGCTTTAACGTATTCCTGCTTTTTTGAAGCTCCAAAGATTACCTTCGGCTGTCATTAAAACGAGCTGTGATGAACTGTGATTTTGCTGCGAGATTGCAGGTTGAATTATCTCTGATTCCGTGAAGGTTGTTAGAGAATTTCCTACGTTCGGTACCGTAATTTGGTCTTTGATCCCTGTTTTGAGAGAAAAATGGCTTGGAAGAGGTTTGTCCTGCATTTGCGCTCCTCTGATTAGCGTTTCTGGGAGGGTAATTATGTCCAGGAGAAGTTGCCTCTCTTTTAAAGCATAAACTGGGATGATGTTTTTGTCCACATAAGGAACAGTCAGATTTTTGGCAGTTGTAGCTATTGTGCCTGCTTGAACCACACTTCCAGCATCTGTTTCCCTCTTTTAATGATTTACGGCGACTGTTCTGGTCCGTTACCGTCCGACACGCCATTGACGTGTGGTTGTTTCTGCCGCAAAACACACACTCTTCGCCAGATTGAGGTCGTGGAGTGTATTTTTCTCGCGGCAGGGTGCCTTTGTTTTTGAGTACCTGGCCAGATCTGCTTTCGATTGGGTGGCCAAGTCTGTTCTCGATATACAGCTTAGCGGCAATCTCTTTCTTGAGATGACCCATTAAATCTTCTGTTGTTTGGTTAACTTGAGATTGCCCTGATATCAGGACGGGCTTAACAACATCTTGAGGGAATTTGGCCAGGATGGTTTCGCACCATATCGGATCGCAGGTTATTTCGCACGTCGTACCCCGCGGATATCATTTGGTTAATTAGAACCTGAATTTGGTCTAATACAGCCGAGCAATTGTCGGCAGAGTTATTGGCTGGTTTCAAATTTACCAGCTTTTGAATTATTTGTGACCGATTTACGGGCTGGTTACAGTAATTTTCCTGTAAAGTTCGGATAATCCAGTTGTAATTATCTGGAATAAGTTGTATCCCTTTTATTGTGTTTTGGGCTCTACCTTTAAGGCTTTCTTTGAGCAGAAGAATTTTCTCCATAACATCGAGTTCGGTACTTTTATGGACAAGTGTCTCAAAACCGCCCAAAATTCAGGAAAGTCCTCTGAGTTGCCGTAGAATTTCGGCAGAGGGTAGCTTGCGGAGGTTTTATGGACCTACCGGAGGTTTTTATGTTGGAGTTTTCACGTTGGATTTGCTCCGAATTAGGCGCGCTTGATGATGCGCTGTTTTCTGCACTTTCGGTGCTGATTCTATCCTCATCTGGGATAGTATGTAATTCGTGGCTTTGTGACTCAATAATTTCAATTTGTGCCTTTTGAGTAACGTAACCTAGTTTCACGTTCATTCTGTCTCTGGCACACTTTGCTTCATCGAGCCGTGCCTTTAACATGAAACATAAGTCCTCTGATTCGGCCATTACTAAGTTCAAGCCCGACTCATCTTCTATTTGCTCGATTTCCGTCGCTATTTCTTTTCTCTCTGTCTTTGTTTTGCAGTTTTTATACTCTTCTTTTATTTCCTTGTGCCTCATTTCCAGTTTTTCCTGGCCACATTTTATTTGCTGTAGGCCACTTTGCAAAAGTGCTATTGTGGATCTACATTTTTCGTAATTTTCCTCATCGATTACAGTGAAATCTGTTTTTGAGGTGTACTCTCTGTAGCGGAGTACTAGATTCTTAAGCGTCTTAGCACTCAGAATGATAGGCGTCTTGTGGAATAAAAGTGCCATTTTTGATCTATTTGTTTGCGTATTTCTTTTTTTGAAATACTTACTTTGCTATTAATGTAGCAAATTGACTCCAGGTACTATGACGGGAGATTTAGTCTGCTTTGTTTGCAGAAGAGTTGCTCCAGGTACTGTGACGGGAGACTTATGAATCAAAAGATTCGAGGTCTTAGATTTGACCTTATGAAAATTTGCTCAATGAGCTAGTCTCGACTCCAGGCCTCAAAGTTGCGACGCTTTGACACGGGAGAATTTGGCGTATTTAAGCCGATGCACCAAGCTGTTGCGGGTGACTGAGAGACTTCGGGTTATGTTGGACCCTTTAATGTCACCTTGCGGTGGTTCAGTGGAATTGTATTGGAGAGAGTACAAAAGAGAGAGTTTGAGCTGTGAACTGTTTATCGAGCTTGTTAAATCAGCGAGTGCCGTATGTTCGAGTCTAAGGGTCCGCCCCCGCCAGACGTAAGGCCGAGAGGGGATCATCGCCTGCGATGCGCGTCCAAAATGAGTATCATATCCGTAATGAGGACAGAAGCGTTTCGTAAAAGATGTTATACCCTTATGCAGAAGTCTATACAACAATATGAACCCACAAAATGCAAGCACAAGCGGCCCTATTAAACCCTCGTTCACCGATAATTCGTAAAACACCATTTGGTATCGCCCGGAATCTTGTAAGTCACAAAACGTTTTCAATAATGAGACAGAATTAGTGATTCACCGCATTTGTCAATACAATGGGTGTGAGCGCGGGCAAGTAAGGAATCAGAAACTTCCAAATTCACGCATGCAAAAAAGCTGCTCCAATCGCGCGTTCTTATATACCGTAGCTCTTTTCGCTACGGGTGCGCCAGCCTGCCGCGCGATGTCGCGTTGCGAAGAGCGAAAAAGTCGCGTTCTGTCCTAAGTACCCACACCCGAAGTAATACACCAATGTGACACGAAGTAACAGAAGACGCGAACCAAACTTTAGTCTAAAGTAGTTAATTGACAGACTGGCAAGATTATGGCAATATAGCTAGACGTACACGAACGATCCAGCATTTATTATAAATGAATCAAAGGATGTACTAACGCAATTACAACAATATAGCTGTAACCTCGCCTTCAGAAGGATTACGTGACTACTTACTCTCCCTTATGTTCTCTGCCGAGAAAAGCCAGAGCACAGTCGATTAGAGAACGGTGCTTGGCTCGACTTCAACTCCCAACCAAGGAGGTGGGAGGTCTAGGACTAAGCCTTGAAGAGAGGAGGGACTCCGTAGCGGATGAGCCAATTACACTGTGGCAAAGTTTGAATACATGAGATCACAATAATCATAAAGCGCTGGTTAAGCGAGAGAGCGCAAGCGAGAGCGACAAATCGGGGCGGTTTGAAGGGCTAGGTCAAGTTGTCCGTAGATCATTCAGAAGACCAGAAGTTGTGCAATTGCAGAAATTGGCGTGGCATCAATTCCAGGACACCTTTAAGCATACGTGATGTCATCTTTTCATCGAGAATTTAGCCACGTGTGCCACGCGGATTTTCGGACTGCACGAAACAGAGGTTATATACATGGACAAATTTACAATATAAAACAGGGAAAAGGTGAAAAGGTAATCGTAAAATCAAAGGTAACAGCCCCTACCCAACATTCAGCATACGGCCGAGGATGTATACCGTAACCCACGTTTGCGTCAGAGCGCGGTCGCAGGCTTTCCAATGCACAATGCCAACACTAGTGCTAGAGCGATCAACGATGGCGCCCCTGCTGTTCAGGGCAGCGACCCAAAACGTTCGCCTCGCCGCCTGCACGACGAAGCCGAACACCGTCGCAGCGTTGGCCTCGCAGGGCTGAAGCTGAGACGGCACAGGGAGGTAATCCCTGAGCTGCCTGTCGGGTCCACGTCCACTGTGAAGGGGCGTGACCCACGCTACGGTATCGAAGGAGGCTGGCGTTGGCTAGCCGGGGCTCGGCAGTGATGGTCCAGCCTTGACCATACTCCACCCCATTCTTATGTCCCTCTCCTGTTATTACACGTAATAAATATGTATAGCCTAATCTTGGCTTTTGTATTATTGGGATACAACATACCGCTACACACTTCAGAT